CTGAAGCCTGCAGCGTGTCTTCCCTGCAGCCCCGGGGCGTTTCCCCAGCTCACATGGGGGCATTTACAGGCCTAGGAAACTGGCCGGGACAGACTTGTGGGAATGCGCAGGCCGGGTGGGCGCGTCACCCGAGAGCCTGGGGAGTCGGGGGTCAGATGGGCGAGGCTTTGACGAAGGCAGTATGTGCGGGGGTTACGAGCATGTATTTGTGGGCAAGTTTCCCAACCTCTCCGGCCTTCCTTTCCTTATCAGTAAAATGGAGAATATGGCCCCCCACCTCCTAGGGTTACTGGAAGGATTAAATTAATGTATACTTAGTGCCTGGAAGACTGATCCTACTCCTCTCTCGGCTTCAGATTTCTCATCGGTGCAAGAGGTATAGGTGGGAGCCAGCCAGCCTCCCAGACGGCCCCAAATGATTCCTGCCCCCCCCCCATTCCCACCCTTTTGTAGTCCCCTCTCTCTCTGTACCAGGGATGGTCTGTGTGACCAACAGAATACTGCAGGAGTGATGGTATGTGACTTCCAAGATCAGGCTATAAAAGACTGTGATTCCCACCTTGGTTGTTTTCTAGGGTCATTTGCTCTGGGGAAAGCCAGCTGCCATGAGCAACCCTGTGGAGAGGCCCCCAGGGGAGGAAGGGAAGCCTCAGGTCAGCAGCCACAGAAGTCCGCTTGGAAAGGGATCCTCCAGCCCCAGTCAGTCCTCAAGTGACTACCGCCTGGTGAGAGACCCTGCGCCAGCACCAGCCAGCTCGGCCACTCCGGGATTCCTATCCCACAGAAGCTATGAGACAGTAGTGTTTGTTTAAAACCCCTAAATTTTGGAGCATTTGTTATGCAGCAATAGATAACTATAACTAGTACGTAGCATAAACTCACTAGATTATATTTCTTCCATTATCTAGATTATATTTCTTCCACTTTGCAGGGTCACTGTGATGTTTAGAAACAAAGTATGAGTCATCCAACAAATGGCTATTATTATTAACATTGCCTTAAATTACTCAACGCTATCAAGGATCACACAGGAAACGAGCTACTATTCAAAGTACCAGAGGTTTAAGAAAAACTCATCCGTTCCTGATTACTAAATCCTAAGGACCACAGGATGAAGTAGGGAATCTTGTGTCTTAAAGCTGAGGATTGCTTGTTACAGAGACAGGGCAAGGGCCCTGATCCTGGTGACTAGGTCAGGCCATAGGTCATAAAAACAAAAAGGCTGGGAGAAATAGGTTGCAGGCCAGAATGTTGCTACTCTCATCCCCTTGACACCTCAACTCTACCCTCCTGGACTTAGAGCAGAGAAAACTTGGGGAAGGACACAGGCAGTTCCAGGTAATCCACACTTAGACCAGAGGGTGCTTTGGACAAAGAACAAGGCAATGAAAATATTTTTTTCTTTTTGCATTTGACTTTTGTCGTTTTAACATGATTATCTAGATGGGGTTTGTTTACATATTGCCTAGGACATGGTTTGCTTTATCCTTCTGAGGGTTCATACTTTTCTTCAAGTCTACAAAATTCTCAACTTTTAATTCTCTGAGTATTGCTTCCTCTCAGGTATCTCGTCTCTCCTAGAATACCTAAGTTTACGTTGTAGCTTCTCAGCCTATCCTCCTATCTCCCAACTTCCTTTTCACATCTCCATCTCTTTGTCTTCTCTAGTCTGCATTGTGGCTGATTTCCTCAGGTCTAGAGTTTAATTCATTAATTTTCTGTTTAGTTATCTCTCTGGTATAAAAGCCTAATTTTTCAAAAACTTGTTTTGTTTTCTAGGATTTCTATGTGCTCTTATTTCAAATCTAACTGATCAGGAGTTATAATCTCCTGTCTTGTAGATTATGTCTTTCATTATCTCTTTAAACATTTTAAACATTTATTTTAAATATTCTTTCAAATTGCTCTATTATCTGTTTCCTCAGACATGGATTTTCCTGACACTGTATTTTTATTTTTATTTTATTTATTTATTTTTTTAAGTATATCTTTATTGATTTCAGAGAGAGGAAAGGAGAGGGAGAGAGAGAGACAGAAACATCAATGACGAGTCACTGATCGAGCCCGCAACCCGGGCATGTGCCCTGACCGGGAATTGAACCCTGATCGCCTAGATCCTAGGTTGAAGCTCAACCGCTGAGCCACGCCCGGCCGAGCCTGACACTGTATTTTTAGATGAGTTTTAAAATTTTACTCCACAGGTTTGTAATTAGTGGGAATTATCTTTCACAGAAGTCCCACTTAGGCCCTGCTAGGCCTGTCCGTGGTTTGGTTGCCTATGTCCAAGATACATGGGTTCACAGGTTCCAACCAGTTTTTATGTTAGTTTCTCAGCTAACAGTTTCCTCACCACTTGGATAGTGCAAGACACAGACAGGTTTAGGGTCTTGTTCTCTCATAGGTGACTGTTTGCACCCACATCCTGAAGCAGATAGTCTGCTCCCTGCTGTGACTCTGGGCAGTGGGACAGAGGTCTCTGGTCCCCATTTATAGGCAGTGCCATTCTTGTCAAGCTTCCAGCTTTAGATAAGAGTCCAGTCCCAGCTCCTGACCATAGACAGCCCTGTGGCCTCAACTCATACCCCCTCCATGTGTGCTTTAATACTACTACCCAGAGGTCCAAGTAGTCCAGGTCCCTCCAAGCTCCAGGTTCTTCAACTTCTGCTCACTACCATCGCTATAGATTCCTTCTTCATTTTGGCTCTAGGGATTCCTTGTCTTTTGATATTTGGAGTGGAGAATTCCATGCCCACTCAGTCCCTCATCCCGATCACAAGTGGGCCATGAGATGCTACTGCTCCCCTATGAGACCGGAAGCTCCATGACAACAGGAAATGTAGCTGTATCCTTGGGCCCCACCACAGTGCTTGGCACATAGCAGGTGCTCAATAAATATCTGTTGTAATAAAATGGGTGGAAAAAGGAACTAGGAGGCATTTCAGGAGAGGTGAGTAGCGGTGGGTAAAGCAGGAATGAACCAGGTGTAGTTGGGCAAGTTTGACTGGAGCACAGGGTGTGAGAAGGATGGTGGTGGGAGATGAGACAAAAAAGGCAGGTGGGGGTAAGATTGTGGGAGGTCGTCAGTTCTACCTCCAGGAGCCTCAGCTGGGTCTGGTAGGTAATAGGGAGCCATCGAAGGATGCTGAGCAGGGGAGTGATATGATGTAGCAGGCTGGAGAATGAGGATTCTGGGACCAGGGTGCAGGAATGGATTGGAGGAGGAGGTTTGGAAGAATGGGAGGCCAGTTAGAGTCTACTGTGTGGGCCAGGGAACAGGACTAAAGGTGTGACCTGGAGGAGTGATGAGGAATAGAGAGACCTATGCAAGGGCAGAAAAAGAAAGGCCTCAGAGGCTGGCTGTGTGTGGGGAATGAGATGGGACATAGTCAAATACGAGCGCCGGGGTTTGAGCGTAGGTAGCAGGAAAAACAATGAAACCGAGGATGGAAACAGAAAACTGTATGTGCACACAGCCACACCACAGATGACTCGACCACGTGATGCACAAGGGGACACACACAGATGGCCAGCGCAGCCTCAGGGGAAGATGGCCCAGCTGCCTCCCTGGCGTCGGGAGAGCCATCCCTGATAGTCACATCTGACACAAACACCAGCCTGAAGGCTGGCAGCGTTGCTTTCACTTCTGAACAAGCCTGAGAAGGAGCAAGCAGTGATCAGAGTGTCAGGCTGAGAGAGTCTTTGGGGGTTTCCTGGTCCATCTGCCTGTCTCAAGGGCAAACCTACTAAAGCCATCTCTGTTGCCAAAATTATCCTGAAAAAGGGATTTCGCATTTCACTCTCCTTCCTAGGATCCAATTGAAACCTTTTCTGCTGCTCTTAAAGGTCACAGCAACTCACCGGCAAATTCCACCCATCCCTGCAGCCCCCCGCCCCTGCCTCCTCCCATCAGCTCTCGGTGATAACCTGCCTACACCTCCTGTCTGAATCATTCAGTTGGTCTGGGACAAAATTCACCTGGCATTTCCAGATTCTCAGCATCTGTTGCTTTCTAATTGCTTTGAGTCCTTTAATCTCAAGAGTGAAGGGCTTGCCTCCTGGAAGCCTCCTGCAGTAAAGGTGGTATTATATGTTGCTGCTAATTCCTGGAGCCCCCAATCCAAAGACGGACACCGTGGGAGGAAGTGTGCCAAGCTACAGAGAACACTGGTTCTGGATTCAAATTCTGCTTCCACCTTCACAAGAGCTGTGTGACCTTGGGAGTTCACCCAACCTCCCTGAACCTCAATTTCCTCAGCTGTAAAATGGGGGCATGAATGCCTTCCTCACAGCATAGTGGTGAGGAGCCAAAGAGAAAACACTGGAGAAAGCCCCTAGCACAGTGCTTGGCACACGGCCTCAAACGGTGGCTGAAGGTGCATCTGAGGATGTGTCTGCTCACAGACACAAGGGATGGAGTGGAATCGAACAACTATATTGTTTTTCCCCTTGGCCATCAATGTTTTCAGGTGAATAAGGCTGCAGCCTCCAGCCCTTCCCCACAGAGTTCATTTTCCAGCTATTGCTCCAGCCCCATCTCCTGTCTTCTGTGTATTTGCTGCTGTCGCCTCTAGTCCCCAACGCCTGCTGCGGGTTCTCAAGC